CAAAGTTCTGAATGAGATGGAGACCTGGACATGAATTTAAAAGCCATCGCCATAATCTTAAGAAATCATGAAGATCAATGGTTATCCTTGGTTTAATTTTTACATAGAAGGACTTTTTAGGGCATTTATTAAGTTCGAAAAATTGTGTGGAGAAAATGTATTCACAATGAATAAATTTCGTTCTCGATACTTCGAACAATATTATCAAAGTATAAATATTTCATATGTTCTGTACATTAAATTAGTTTACGGTAGGACATTTCCACCAATGCCACAGGTTCTCTGCTTAACTCTAAGAACACAGGCCTGTCAAAAGTTTACTCATTGCGAGGGATGATTCTTTAGCTCAAAGTAAGGCTATTTGAATGGACAGGGGTCCTGAAATGAAACCTCTAAGCAAAAGTAACGATCCCTCGATCCCTCATAGTACATCAAAATTTTCGATTTCTGAGAACTTAAATGTTGTTTTCATTTGGGAGCCAAATCCAATTTGCAGTTCAAAAAATAATTTCGCTCAGTCTTCTGGGGGTTGTTGAGGGGGCCTCCACTTAAAAAAGACTATATTTTTTAATGGATGGAACCCACCTCCCCACAAAAAATTATTAATCACTATAATTTTATAGCCAAAAATTACTTAAACCCTCAACTTTACATGACAATTAACCCAAAACTCTTCCCAGAATTTGGAGGGGAAAATCGAACCTTTCTTTAAACTTTAGGAGCTCTGGCTTTGTGGTGTTTGACTACATGCCTATGTTTATAAGAACCAGTGTTCGAAACTCACAGGCGCCAACGCGCCAAATGCGCCTAAAAACTTGGCCATGGCGCCTAAAAAATGAAGGCTCTGCGCCAACGGGGCCCCTAAAAATTGTCTCTTAAAGATCTGGAATTTCACAGGAAGTCATAAAAAGAAAGAAAATCAAATCTATTTGAATTGAAAAAACTCAGAATTTTCAGCACTACAAGTGAAAGCTTGCTTTTACTATTCTTCACGATTTCATTCTTAGTGCTTTTGTCTTCCCCGAGTTACATACAGCTACTCACTAGTTTTGTTACGAAAACATCTTTCGGCTAACTTTACACTAAATGCGCCGTAATCTATATAGGCAAAAAGTCAATTTGGCCCTAAAAAATCTTCAATGGCGCCTAAAAATCGGGATTTATGCGCCACATGGCTCCTAAAACTCAAAGGTGAGTTTCGAACACTGCTTAGGTACTGCTCTATTCGCAATCACGGCAGCTGTATGCTCACCTATTAAAATTAACTCAAAATGTTCGGTATGTTGGAGTTTTTTTCACCATCGTGCGTCAAAGATTCAGCATAAAGCTGAAAAGCTCAATACAGAGGGAAAAAGCTCATATGAGCACAATTTTCCCTCGATTAGATATGCTGTTTGGGTCAAAACTAGTTAGAACCATTCATTGACCAAAAGTATGCTCATATGAGCTTTTCTCCTCGTATGGAGATTTTCAGCTTTACGCTGAATATTCAACGCGCGTTGGCAATAAAAAACTCTAACATACTGTCTTACGACTCGTGCGTCCAGGGTGGCGAGATTTCATTAAAAATAAAATTTTGAATTTCACGAGAAATATGGCATGGAATTTCCGTAATTTATGCAAAATATTGAAAAATACCGGTTCCTTATCATGTTTCGGAAAATGTAAAAATTGTGACCCTCTTCTATTTTTGTGTATCTAAGTGCGGGTAGCATACTCTGGCTCCTGAAAAATATGAAATATTACGCAACACTGGAAAAAAACAAACATTGGATCTAGAGTTCAGACTCTTGAAAACATTGACAAGGAAAAATGCTCTTGATTCAAGCAGATTTAAGCTCAAATCAAAAGGAAATCCGCTCAAATTAAGAGGCTTGGTTCTTGATTTAAGCAAAACTCCGATTGAATCAAGAGTATTTTTTCTTTTCGATGTTTTTAAGAGTCTGGGCTCTAGATCCGATGTGTTTTTTCTCCATTGAGCCTCGCGAAATGTCATGAAATATTTCACTCAAATTTCCAATCTTTCATTTCTGTCTCACGTTTCATGCCATCCTGCTTACGTCCACCGCAATCAGTTCGTGTCAAAATTTTCCATTCTCGTTTCCTCTTCGCCTTCGTTTTTTCGCATTCCTTCCCTTTTTTTTAAAAAAAAAATGTTTCTCGTCTAGCTCAATCCGTCGGAGTGTGTGATGAATCGGCTCCAGATATACGTAGTTGTGACATGCAATGCAACACCTCTTGGGGAAGAGTCCCGTGGCTCAACGTTCCTTGGGCTCGCGGAGCTTGTCGGGACTCGAGATGCGTTTGCAGGTTCAACTACGAGGATCTGCAACCTTATGAGGCTCAACTCTGCATTCAGAAGTCCGTTTGGTCTTCGTTCAAGTCCAAGAGAAGATATGTGAGGGAAGCGATTGAGGTAGGAACATGTACACGGCAAGAAGAAGTAACCTCGAGTTGCCTTCGAGTTTGCCTTAAGGTGATTCGATGGACGCCATATTTTGTGTCAGAGCGGCATGCGATATATCGCATCAATTGGTTCCATTTTTTCAGTTACTCGTCATTTTTCTCCAATTTTGAGATCGCAATTCTGTTGTCAGGAGACTAAAGCACTCACTTACCAATTTTAACAAACAAATTTAACGTAATAAAGGCGTGATATTTTCAGAGAGATAATATCGCATTCGAGTGCAGTTTCGATATCAGTGTCGAATGCGATGTTTTCTCTCTGAAAAAAACCACGCCTTTATTACGTTGAATTTCTTTGTTAAAATTGGTAAGTGAGTGCTTTAGTCTCCTGACAACAAAATCTCGATCTCAAAATTGGAGAAAAATGACGAGTAGCTGAAAAAATGGAACCAATTGATGCGATATATCGCATGCCGTTCTGACACAAAATATGGCGTCCATCGAATCACCTTAAGTAGCAGCTTTGCACAATTTCCTTTCAAGCTAGTAATACAATGTTCACAGTTGAAACGCAGAGAGCAGGGCTATGGGCAGAACTCTTAGCCGTCCCTTCGACAGCTCCTTCTCTCAGCAGGGCCCATCTGGTTTGAGAAATGTTTTCTATGAACACGCTTTACGAGTCTCTATTTGACGCAATGATCCAGAGGATTAGATGGTTGGTGAACATACTTTCATTTGGAAGATAGCGTCTAAAAACTAATCGTGTTCGGAAGATGAGTGTTGCATATCAGGGAAAATGAAAGCGTTTTGACTTCTTTTGAGCTCTAAATAGCGCAAAAAGTTTCAACAAACACAGTTTGACTTCAAACAACAGGTTGACTTCAAACAACAGTTTGAAATCGCTGCGGAGGAGGTTTTAATTTGGTGAGGGAGAGAGGGGTTTAGGACATTTCGTCAACGATTTTTTGTCTGCGCACCTGTTTTTCCAGTAATTTACGAGTTTTGGTCCACGTGCCAGTTGAGACCCAAAGTTAATTGGCCCACATTTAAATACAAACGACAATTGCTCATGACGTTTTTGGATGAAAATATAAAATGTCTTGGTAAAATGAAGGTTTGCTTGTTTTTTTGTTTTGTCTGTTTGGTCCAAAGGAGAATAATATATAGTTGAGAGTTTTGGTAAAAATGGGGGAGCGTCAATTCCATGAGACAAAATTCACTAAAATTCTCTACACATCTTTGGTGTAACAGGACTTAATTATCTTTCATGATTTTCCCACCTTGTTATACCTGAACCGGATAAACCTCCATATTTGCCTCAGCTAAAGGCTCTTAGATTTTTCCTGTGTACGATAAGTATCTTGATTTATTTTGGGAGGAAAAATCTGTACCTTTAAAGGATGTCTGTCATTCTTAATACGTTCAATTTCGTATAATAGTGTGCAACACCTCTGTTGTGAAATGGTTGCTTCAGGCGCCGCCGCACGGCGGCGGACGGGCGGCCAGCGATGAACGCGCATCGGCGCCTACAAACCTAAGTGGATACTTCAAGCATTGTGCAGTGCGTGAAGTATCCACTTAGGTTTGTAGGTGCTAATGAGCCTCTCGCGCCGGCAGCACGCCGCTCCGCTCTGTTCGGCTTTGATATTCATACTCGCATAGTCAGCGTTTTGTAACTCATGATTTTGAAATGTTACCACACTCTGCATTGATTATTCTCATTTAAATTGATGGGGGAAAAATATGTATCAATTTATCAAAGAAGAATAATAATATAATGTGTTTTTTTTTTTTTTAAATATTGGTGATACCGTGTCAAATTTAATGATTTCCATAGCACTTTAATTTTTCTTTTACATTATGTACTTTTATTGTGCTGCAGTGATCGGTGTACACGCAACAAAACGTTCAAAATTTGACGTATTTGACTCTAAAAGATCGATGTACAAATGGGTTAAAACTAAAGATTTCGTGCTTCTTGGTTTTTCTCCTCTTTTATTCATTTCTGCAGTTTCTGTCGGCAGAACTGCGGCTTATTAAGATTAATGTCGCTTGGAAAAGGTTTTACAAATATTCGTCACGTTTTAAAAATATAAATGTTTTCAAAATGAAGTAATAATTTCGTAAAGAAAAAATTAAAAAAATAAAAAAAGTATCTATACACATATAAGGTATATTGTACATCGAATATTTTAAGGATAGAAATAAAACCAAATATTCACCAATGACAATTTAAAAAGATGATTCAAAAGGAGATAAAAGTAAAAACATTTCATTTAGAAAATGAGCAACCATAACAATACCTCTTTCGCTCTGAATTTCTCATTTCCATATTGTCAACATAATTTTACATACCGACTAAAATATAACGCTTGAACCAAGTCGCCGTTGCTTACTTTACGTGTGGGCATAAACTACTGGACAACAAAGATGCGCGGACAAAAAATCGTTGACAAAATGTCCTGAAACCGAGAGAGGTAATGGTAAAAAACAGAGGTGGCGCATTTTATTTTACTTTTGAAGTGTGTTTTTGAGAATTCTATCACATACTGCACTCTTTTTTTCTTCTTGTATGTCAGGCGAAAGTCATCCGCATGAGTGCAGAAGAACAATTTGAAGCGTTTAAGAAAGCCTATAAGAAAAAATACGCCTCAACGACGGAGGAGTTAAGGCGATTTGACATATTCAAGCAGAACCTGATTGTAATCGACAAACTCATGGCTACAAAGAGAGGAAATGTCGTTTTCGGTGTCGGGCCATTCACGGATTATACCAGTAAGTATTAATAACATCTGAATAGATATTTTGGATAGGTTTGTTTTCAGTCACCCACGAGGAAATTCTGTGTTCACTCAGTCTCTACTCACTCTTGCCCCAACCATCAAACTCGGACTGTGGCTAGGAATTGGACCACATTTTACAGTTAGGAACCACAATTTCTGGATCTTAGAAACAACGCATGTACCTTAAGTTTTCCTATGCGCAAATCCGTTTTTATGGATGAGCTGGATATTGTAGTTCCTAATTGCAAAATGTTGTCCAATTTATCCCGGCACCTCTTCTGCCGCGCTAAGGAAGAACGCCGTATGAACATTCGAGAGTTGCCAGATTTTCTTCGATAAAATGTTTATTTTTAAGGAAAATTATGAATATTATTTCTTGAAATTTTTTGACGAAGATCAAATTACAAAGAAAATTAACTAAGAAATTGGCAGACAAATATTCAAAAATTTTCCTGAAAATTAGTGATTTGCCAGGGTAAATTTGGCAACGCCTAAGGGCTCATACGGCGATTTTCCCCGCCAATGAAAAATGGCGCGAATTTCAAGTTTTTCTCCCCTTCTTAAGCTCTCTGGTCGACTTCTGTATAAAAAAAAACATGGGTCTTATTTTCAAATTCTGATTCCAGCGGGCTCATTTAGGGATTATCACGTGTTGATAGTCGCAAAAATCATGAAAATCGGCTCAGTAGAACGCTGGAACTAAGCGTTACCTGCAGATATGCAAATTTAGTAGGTCTCGGAGCTTACAGTGTAGATATTTGGATTTGAAACAAGCAGTAAGCTCCAACGTATTCGCGTCGGAAAGCGGCTCTGGCGACGGTAGTTGTAGTCAAGAATGAGGGCCTAGACACGTAAGATCTACGTTTACGGTTTCCTTGGTAACCTTTGTTTGCTATCAGCTGATATCGAGTAATATGCGTAGGAAGCTCCAACCACTGCATTCTTCCAAAAAACCGCGAAAACTTTAAAATTCAAAATTTCAAATTTTGAACATAAAGTACATTTTTTCCATCACGAGATTAAAGCACAGACAAGTTTTGAATTATTGACTGTATCACCATGATTCCAAAAATACACTACACAACATAGCATTGGCTAACAATAAAACAATATGCAATAAAATAAAGTCATGACAAGGTACATAGTCGAAAATGGCGCCGATTCCCATCAACCAACGCGCGGTCTCTCCAATGTAACATGGTCCATTGATACTCCCCAGCTGGGACCGTCCGGAATAGCAGCTCTAGTGCAAGCACCAGGGCCGCTAAAAAGTCCTCCAGGGGCTTCCAAAGGAAAACAAGCGGAGGTATTAGATAAGCTCTTAGCAGTTACACAAAGCACAAGGACAAGATTGAAACAAAAAGACGCGGTTCAAAAGCTGCATTTCTGTGGCAACAGTAACGCAACAGCTGTTTCACGGGGAGGCGAATTTTAAAAGGTTCCGAAAAAGTTATCACTGATGGAAAAAGTTCGGATAAAAGAACTCAATTTCATGGGCTTTCAGAAAAAGGTGATTAGATGGACGCCATATTTTGTGTCAGAACGGCATGCGATATATCGCATCAATTGGTTCCATTTTTTCAGCTATTCGTCATTTTTCTCCAATTTTGAGATCGCAATTCTGTTGTCAGGAGACTAAAGCACTCCTTTACAAATTTTAACACTCGTAATAAAGGCGTGGTTTTTTTTTAGAGAGAAAATATCGCATTCGAGTGCAGTTTCGATATCAGTATCGAATGCGATGTTTTCTCTCTGAAAAATCCACGCCTTTATTACGTTGAATTCCTTTGTTGAAATTGGTAAATGAGTGCTTTAGTCTCCTGACAACAGAATTGCGATCTCAAAATTGGAGAAAAATGACGAGTAGCTGAAAAAATGTAACCAGTTGATGCGATCTATCGCATGCCGCTCTGACACAAAATATGGCGTCCATCGAATCGCCTTAATATTAAAATGACTATAAACGTCCCGGCTAAGAAAATTCCTAGCATGTTATTTATTTCATACGATAATAATTGAAATAGCCTTCATACCCGCTGGCCTTGTCGATTTCCTTTGACATTTTTGCAGTCGTGAATGCATAGCTGAAGTGCGCTCCAGCTAGAATTGTATTTAGCAAAAGGGTGGTTTTAATACGAGGATTAAAAATAAACAAAGGGTACGGAATATAACAAAAGAATATGAAGTATGCAAAACGATAATCCGGGTATCGGAACTTGGCTGTTTTGAAAACGCCTTCAAATGCGGCATGATACCGCACGCATTCCGGAGAGTTCGAATAGTTGTATCATTGCGCCTTAGAAATGCGACGGAAGATTACAATTGAAATTGCCTTCAAGCACGCTTGCCTTTTCGATTTCCTTTGACATTTTTGCAGTCATGAATGCGTAGCTTAAGTGCGCTTCAGCTAGAATTGTATATAGCAAATGGGTAATTCTTATGGGAGGGTTATAAATAAACAAGTGGTTAGAAATGAAAAAAAAAATAATATGAACTATGAAAGACGATTATCCGGATATCGGAAATTTGCTGTTTTGAAAACCTCACGCTCACGCATTCCGAAGAGTTCGAATAGTCTTTGTATCATTACGTCGTAAGAATGTAACGGAAGATTAAAATGGAAATAGCCCCCATGCACGCTGGGCTTGTCGATTTCCATTCATATTTTTGCAGTCGTGAATGCATAGCTAAAGTGCGCTCCAGCTAGAATTGTATTTAGCAAATGGGTGGTTTTTATACGAGGATTAAAAATAAACAAGTGGTACGGAAAATAAGAAAAAAATATGAAGTATGCAAAACGATTTTCCGGGTATCGGAACTTGGCTATTTTGAAAACGCCTTCAAACGGGGCGTGATACCTCACGCATTCCGGAGAGTTCAAATAGTTGTATCATTGCGCCTTAGAGATGCGACGGAAGATTACAAAAATTTATAAATCGTAACGTTAAAGGGGGTATTTTTGGATAGTAAAAAGAAAATTCTGGGAATCTCGTCGATCATGATTTTGTGAGTTTGCGAGCCATTCAATCGCTTGAGCGCTCTACTATAGAAGAACTCTGGTGGCAAATCGAAAACAAAAAGCGCCTGCCTATCGACTGAGCGCTTAAAATCAGTTTTTTTGCAAGAATATACTAATTTTAAATATTCAACCTAATTTTCCGCCCTCCCAGAAGTACTGCATATTCACATTGTCAGCCCAACCATCGTTCCCTTATAGTCTGAATCAGATCGCAGAGTTTATAAAATGTCAATGATGCCGATGAAAAAGCTAAAGCACACTTCGTGGAAGTCATGCTAGGGGAGGCGTGACTCTCGGGATGAGGCACTCAAAGTGCTTTCAAATACTCTGCCGTGCTAAGGAAAAACGCCGTATGAGCCTTCAGACGTTGCCAAGTTTCCTCCAATAAAAACCGAATTTACCGGGAAAATTCTGAAAATTATTTCCCAAAAATGTCAAACAATTTTGTACGCAATTTAATCTAAAATATCTGGAAATTTCAAGGAAAAATATGCATGCATGTCGTGAAAAATACATTTTTTATCAAGGAAAATTCGGCAACTCTCGAATGTTCATACGGCGTTCTTCCTTAAGTACTGAGGTGTGAATAACCCACAACGTAGAATGGAACGAAGCAATTTAATTACTGTTTTTTCCCCTACAGAAAGACTGAAAAACAGGAAGTATTGCATCCGTGCGTACTGTGAATTTTTTTCTCTTGATTTCTTTTTTTATTATTTTTTTTTTTTTTATTTTGACGTACTTTTTCTCGTGAATTTGCCCACGGAAAAAACCAGCTTTGAAGTGCAGCAGACTTCTAATGGACGGTTCTCCCGCGTCATGAGGCTCCATTTTGTTGATGAAATCCTGGAATTTCAATGGAGAGAGGCCTGTTTTGGGAGGCTCTTTCCTGTACATGTACTTACTTTACTTAAAAATAAAAAACTTGTGTTTCTAGCTTCCAGCGTAACAATTCCGTTGATTTTGCACATTTGGGATTTGTGTGACGAGAGAGTACCCAACAGGGTGTCCCGATGGGAAATGACCGGACTGCAGGCTCGTGGTCGATGAGGCGAAATGAGATTTTTTTGCTCTGAAAGAAATATGAAAATCAAAAGTTTTCAGATTATAACATTTTCGGGAAAGTCATCGTTGTTTTTCCAAATTATTTGTTGACAATTATGGACCAAAATTCATTATAAATGACGGGATTCTACATTTGATCAACTCGTAGCTGTGGCAAGTACGGACATGTTAGGGCCTAAAAGGGCAACCAATCCTCCAATACAAAAAATGTAAAAACCCTCCAAAAAAAAATAAAAAATTATGAGCATCAAGGTTCCTGTTTTAATCCTTATTTTATTATTCATAGATGTTACTCCAAGCATGGTTAATTACAAAAAATGTCACCGCCAATCTTCAGAATCCAATATCAAACCGAGATGGCCAACGACGAGCTGGGAAAAGACGATTTTAGAGACAGAGCTACGATTTTGCTGTAAGGGGCTGCTCAAGCCTTACGTAACGCACTTTTTCCTTTTAAAGAGGAGATTTAATTAAAAAATGGGTGGACAAGGCTAAAAAATGATTAAAACACTAAAAGGCAGGACGTTTCGAGCTGTTACCAGCTCATTTTCAGCTGCAAAAACACATAAAAACAAGTAAAAAATTGAGTGGCGACCTGACTCCAGCCGATATCACGTAACCACTGACCTAACGGCTAGGGTCAGGTCGCCACTCAATTTTTTATTTGTTTTTATGTGTTTTTGCAGCTGAAAATGAGCTGGTAACAGCTTGAAACGTCCTGCCTTTTAGTGTTTTAGTCATTTTTTAGCCTTGTTTACCCATATTTTAATTAAATCTCCTCTTTGTTGGTATTCAAGTGTTAGTTGGATTGCATTTTGAAAAAATGAACCAGGAGCATTGCAATGTTGCTTAAATGGTGCAACTTCTTTTGTCTTGAAAGAAGAACCTGCTTATTCATTGAGTTCCTATTTTACTCGCTAAGAACTGTAAATTTAAGACCAAAATTATGATGTAAATTTCATATTTTTTCATCTTCTTCTTCTTCTTCTAACTTCTGTCTAGCCTCTAAATTAGTATATAGTATATATTCCTGCCCTTTAGTGTTTTAATCATTTTTTAGCCTTGTCTACCCATATTTTAATTAAATCTCCTCTTTGTTCGTATATTCGGGCTATATTTTTGTGCTTTCTCACTTGAATGCCTAAATCCTGTTGACAGGTCAAGAATGGATGGACGAAATGGGCATCGTGAAGCTCAACCCCGTGCCCAACGAAAACCAACAGCTACAGCCGCGGATGCTGAACGCTTTTTCCAAAATGACGCTATCCCGGAAGAGCAGCAGTAGGAGCAGCAGTAGGAGCAGCAATAGGGGCGACAGAAGCAACAGAGGGAGCCGCTCACCCTCGCCGGCGCCCTCCGAACGGAGCTCTCGCGCGTCAGAGCGCTCGACACGGAGTTCACGAGGTCAATCGGTTCCGCCATCTTGGAGCCCGGGGCCTTTCGTAAGGAAAATCGTGGGGCGCGACCCCCAGGGTGGCCCTACTCTCGATTGGCGGGTCCCGGCTGCGTTCTACCCGCCGACTGAATCTCAAGTAATGAAGCTCATGATTAATTTTTTTGTTTAAAAAATTAACTCACTTGCGACGGAATGGAGATGTTGCATGTGTGAGGGATTTGCGATTTGACTATTGATTCTTACGTAAAAGTTCGCGAGAAACACGATGGTGCCACTGGTTTTCTCTGAAATCAACTCCCAAGCTCAAAAAAAGCTCTCAAGTTGAGGCCAAAATGGAGGAGATATCCCACGCTATCCTGAGGGTCCACCGCTCTGCATCAAAACTAACTCTCCATGCAAAGATAGGGAGCCAATACATTGACAGAGCTGCCACTTCATTTGGGGACTCCAAAACTGAAAACACGGCAACCCTGCTGATGTATTTGCTCTTTGTATGGAGAGTTTGTTTTGATGTAGAGGTGGACTCTCAGGAAAGCGTGGGATATCCCCTCCATTTTGGCTTCAACTTGAGAGCTTTTTTTGAGCTTGGGTGTTGATTTCAGGGAAAACCAGTGGCACAATCGTGTTTCTCGCGAACTTTTACAAAAGAATCAACAGTCAAATCGCAAATTCCTCACACATGCAACATCTCCATTCTTTGGTATCGGCGTACCCGTTTCGAGCTACGGCTCATCAAGGCACAGTGCGGCCCTAAGTGGACGAAAATAAAAAATTCACAACTCGACATCTGATTTAGTTTCTGAAAATAGTTTTGACTCAAATTGATGGTTCATTTTCAAATTTTTCGCTCAAAACCACTTCAAATTTGGGTGGAAAGTGGGTGGGAAATGGGTCGAGAATCACTGGTCCATAAGAAACGCACAGAAAAAAGACGTCAACTTCAAATGAAGATTTCTCGCTTGAAACGCAAAATGCTCTGAGCGGTTCACATTTCCTCAATCCTCACATATCGACGGTGAAACTACCAAACCACGTATCTTGTTTGCGGTGTTTAAAAATCTACGCTCGCATTTCATTTTTTTGAAGTAGACCAAATCAATATCGTTCCTTGAAATTTTCACAGAATTTTCTGCGCACGAAGAGGAAAAATCACAGAAATTTTCAAGACTGGATGTTGAGTAGTTTTGCATTTAAAAAATTAAGTATGACAGGAAGTCTGCGACGTCGCAAACCGAGATACGTGGTTTGGTAGTTTCACCGTCGATATCCAACTTCAAATCTACCGAAAATATCTTGCGACTTTTTGTGACTATCAGAGATATTTGAAGTTAAAGGTGGGGTGTTTCACGTTGCTTTTACAATGTTAACATAGGGCTAATTGGAGGAGGCCAACTTCAAATGAAATTTTCTCGAATAATACGCAAAAAATCCCGAGATGTATCATTTCCTTATTCCTCGAGTGTTTTACCTTGATAGTGCCAAAGGGTTTTCCTGTTTCGGTGCTATCTTCCTTACTTAAAGTTAAGTGTCTTTTACCGATTTTTGTCCGCTTCGTCCATAAGGATGCCGCTCTATGCGGCGCGTCGGGCGAGGGTAACCAGCGCTACACGCGCATTGGCGCCTACAAACCTAACAGGGATATACTTCACGCATTACGCAATGCGTGAAGTATCCCTGTTAGGTTTGTAGGCGCCAGTGCGCGTGCCGCTCCGCTCTGTGTTCGGCTCTAATATTTAAACTCACGGAGTCACCGTTTTTCAGCTCATGGTTTTGATTGTTTCACGTTGCTTTTACATTGTTAACATAGGGCTGATTCGAGGTTGCCAACTTCAAATGATTATTTGTTACGTAAATTAGCAATCCATTTTTTCCGTGAATTTGCAATACATAAAGCTATTGGGTCAGTTTCGTTAATCACAGAATAGTGTTTTGATGCTTGATTATCGTAGACTAGCTAATGCTAAACATATAATATCAGTCCAAACAGTAGCTTTCGACGTTCAATACTAATCGAGATATCGCGATTTGAAAAAATTGGTTTATGACGTCATCCAACGCGATAGTGCAACCCTCGGTTTCTTCCACCTTGCTTTCACCAGTCAGGGAAACACATTTGATTTCCCCTCGTCTTCACATTCCAGTAACTTCATATTTCGGTAACTGTTCGTTGCTTTTAGAACCAGCACGGAAGGAAATGTGGTGCATGTTGGGCATTTGCGGTCCTCGGTGCTGTGGAAATCCTCTTGCCCAGAGTTCAAGGTTACATAACTTCACTCTCGAAACAAGGTTGGTACACAAAATAGTATACTGATCGGTTATTTACTTCAAAATCCAACTGGTATTAATAAAACATGTAAAACATGTGACACATTACCAGAAATTTTTGTAGATTGTGTTAGGGTGTGTTGGTTGGTGTTCAGATAGGATAACACACATTTTCAAGGCCTGTGTTGCTGACGAAATCAACACAAAGCAAACCAACAGGGTCGTTTTTCCGCGATTAGTCCTAAGTCGCTGAACACAAATAAACGTTATCCATTAAATTTCATAAAATTGTAAGTATTGTGTAAGATTTCTGAGAGAACATTTGCAGGGCGAAAGCATGATTTCTCGTGAAAGTCACCTACACTCTTTCAAAATCTTCTCCTTCCTATATCGATTTATAAGATACTCCTGCTTTATAAGATACTAGCGGAGGCTCTCCTGTCTTTGGCCCATACTCTCCCTGTGTACACTGGAAAAAAAAAACACATTGGATCTAGACTCCAGACTCTTAAAAACATCGACAAGAAAAAGTACTCTTGATTCAATCAGAATCTAGCTTAAATCAAGAACCAAGCCTCTTAATTTAAGCGGATTTCGTTTCGTTCGGAAAAAAGGGGAAGGTTTGCGAAAAAACGAAGGCAAATACTGCCGTGCTAAGGAAGAACGCCGTATGAGCCTTCAGGAGTTGCCAAATTTCCTTTGATAAAACACTAATTTAAACATATACATATGCATGTAATAAACTTATGAATATTTTCCTTCCAATTTTTAAGATGATTTTGTTCGCAATTTTACCTGAAGTTCCTGAAACTTTCAAGGAAAAATATTCATAACCTTCCGCAAAAATAAACATTTTATCGAAGGAAATTTGGCAACTCTCGAAGGTTCATATGGCGTTCTTCCTTCGCAGGGTAGAATAGGAAACGCGAATGGAAAATCTTGACACAAACTGATCGCGGTTGACGTAAGCAGTGTAGCATGAAACGTAAGAAAGAAATGAAAGATTGGAAATTTGAGTGAAATATTTCATGAAATCTCGCGAGGCTCATTGGAAAAAAAACACATTGGATCTACAGTCTAGACTCTTAAAAACATCGACAAGAAAAAATACTCTTGATTCAATCGGATTTTTGCTTAAATCAAGAACCAAGCCTCTTAATTTGAGCGGATTTCGTTTTGATTCAAGCAAAAATCCGATTGAATCAAGAGTATTTTTTCTTGTCAATGTTTTCAAGAGTCTGAACTCTAGATCCAATAAGTTTTTTTTCCCAGTGTAGGTATTCTACGAAAAACCAGTGGCACATTGTGTCTCTCGCAAAATTTTACACGGTAACCGAAACCCAGAATCCCTGACACACCATCTCCTATCAGTAGCGTGGCGTGAATGATCGATCATCGATATATCGCCATTTGAAGCTATGGTACAGAATCGATTACTAAGGTGTTCGCTGCGAACACCCTGACAATCGATCTTTTTTTATAGGTTTGAGTGGCGTATCAATCGACATATCGCAAAGCACGCCACGCCACTGTCTCCTATCACTGAAGTTTCGGGAATGTCAACAGCTTTGATCGACTGCGTTGTGACAAACGACGGCTGTAACGGTGGTGACATGAGAGACGCCATTGTCTATATGATAAAGATCGGAGTTCCGAGTGCTGTTTCCTACCCCTACATGGCAAGGAACGGGAGATGCAAATCATTTATAGGGCCGTACATGAAGCTCAATTATTACACCGATGTCCCGGGATCCAATCAACTGGCGGAGCACTTGGAGCACAGTCCACTCCCGTCAATTCTCTACGCACCATTAGAACTCCAGGTGGGAATTTTTGTCATGGGAACGGAGTTCCCCATGATATTAGAATCGTTCCGTTGCTTTCGCTATGGGATTCCCTATACCTCTGCGACCTTGAGCGTTTCGCCCAGTCTCCGATTTTTGGTTGATTTTCCGATGTATCAAAAACCGTTGTATTTTTTAGCCAATCATGTCTCTACGTCAAGTTGTGTTGATTGCTAAAATTCGCTTTCAGCGAGTTTTTTTCCACCTTGAGATGTCGTGTCTGACTGGTAAATCTGCGCAGAACCACGAAGTTCCGTTTTTAGGCAAATTCTTTTTTTTGGGAGGTTCTGATTGGTTATTTTTCGCCATCAGTTTTCTGTTCGTTGGTGCAAAAGATCGCCTACCTCGGTGTTCTTGAGAAGCCGCCATTATCCCACCTCAAATTTGAAAAATAGAAGTAAAGAAATAATAACCATCGTACAAGGTGGAAAATTGTTCTGGAGGACTCGTTACGGATAAAGAAGTCAAAATCAGAGCTCGATTGATTGATTTAATTCATGGATACGCAAATATTGCCTTAGCTCAACTGCCGCGATCGGAATGCGTGCTGGCATGAACCTCGAGACGCATTAAAACAGTGCGAACCATGGCTCCTACAGCAAAACAGCAATGCGCTTCATATCATCCCAAAAGCAGTCAAGGTCTCTTGTGATAAGTCCCGCCCATTGCCCGAGTCTTTTGTATGCTATTTTTACTCTCGCCCACGTGGATCCATTATAGCCTAGTTGACTAAACCGCCTCGTATTTTTGATTCGGTGCGGGCACCCGGCGATCGGGAGTTCGATACCCGACGATGGGAACTACTTTTTAATGGTTGTATTGAATGTTTTAGACTAATCATCAAAAAATAATTAATAGTAGATGATAAATGTACGAACATTTTCTCGTGAGTTAATATGTTAAACAAAAATACTGGAATATACCTTCTTCATATAATCAGCCACATGTTCCCCCAAATTAATGACGTTATTTTCTTTTTTCAATAAAGTTAATTTGCATTCAACGTTCGTAAGTTAAGCAAAAAGTACCTATTGATACAAATAGAAAGACATGAAAATAGTATGTCTAACATTTCAGTTGTTTTTTTTTTTTTTTTTTTTTGTTTTTTTGTTTTTTCAATAAAACAAATTGACTGGGACTAGAATCATTGTGTCTCTGAAGACAAAAGCTAAGTTTTTTGATACAGAAATACTAATATATTCATCCTTTATATAATCAGGGAGATGTTGACCCAAATATTGATGTATATTTTCTCTGTTCGCCCAAATTAATGATGGTATTTTCTTTTTTCAATAAAATTAATTTACATTCCACGTTCTTAAAGCAATATTTTCTCCAAAATTCAGCAAAAAATAACAATTTATACCTACGCAAAAAGTAAATAAATAAATAAAGCAATGACATGAAAGTAGTATAGGTAGTACACATCTAACATTTCGGTTACATCTATTTGAATGAAAAAAATGGCAACTTAGGAAGCACATAGGTCACTTATCGACGGTGAAACTACCAAACCACGTATCTCGGTTTGCGACGTCGCAGACTTCCTGTCATACTTTATTTTTTAAATGAAAAGCTACTTAACGTCCAGTCTTGAAAATTTCCGTGATTTTTCCTCTTCGTGCGGAGAAAATTCTGTGAAAATTTCAAGGAATGATATTGATTTGGTCTACTTCAAAAAAATAAAATGTGAGCGGAGATTTTTAAACACCGCAAACGAGATACGTGGTTTGGTAGTTTCACCGTCGTTATGATGCGTATTCGGGCATATGCGTAGAGTAAAAATATCATACTTTACGCCGAAAAAACGAAACTGAAAGTTAAATGCGTTAACTTCCAAAAACCATACATAATCCAACGAAAATAAATAATTGGTAAATAACAGCTTTCTTGTATGCAAAGAAAAAAAATTAAAAATGTTAAAAAAGAGATGTCGACACAAAATTACATAGCCCCTTCAATTCTGAAGATACTACAAACGAACTGTACCTTAAAATTTTCATATCCCAGAAGCAAAAGTTCCCATGACGAATATTACTATCGCTAGCGATTGCAAAAACCAACTTGTTTTTTATAGAGTGACTTCAACGCGGGAAAATAAAACGGAGAATAAAAAAAATCTGCCTTCTACTTCTTCTCTTCTACTTCACGGAAAAAAATTAAATGTTGATTTAGCATTTATACTGTTAAAAAGATGTGCGACAAGTTTCAAATGCTGATTTTACATTTTAACAAATGCAAACGTAAGTATGCCCACTGCAAAACGAACAAATTTAAATGTTATGTTAGCATTGCTGTTATGTAAAACCAGCATCTGAAACCTGTCGGACATCTTCTCAACAGTATAAATGCTAAATCAACATTCAATTTTTTCCGTGTTTTTTTCCTTATCCTTCGACTTTTTTCTTCTTCTACTATTTTTGCTTTTTACTCCTCTTCCTTTCGATCTTTTTCCTCTTATTTATGGTATCTTTTTCTTCTGATTCTACTCTTTCTAGTTCTTCTTTTACTTCCTTTTATTCTTCTTCTAATTATTCGTCGTCTCTTGTCTTCTACCACTGCTACTCCTTATTATGTTATTCTTCCTGTTCTACTTCTTCTTCTTTCCTCTTATTCTTATTATTCTTATTCTTGTATTTTTTCTCCTGCTTATGCATTTTTTAAGATAATTTTCCTCTTCTCCTTTTTTGTCTTTTTCCTACCATGCAAGTTTGCCCCCATGGCACTCATCCCTTCAATCTTTTAACTCAAACTTCGAATTGAATTCTCATCATTGAATCATGATTACTTAAATATGTTTCCATTTCGTGGACTTGAATTTGTTGAGTTTAGCCGAGAACCGGTTGCAAGCCGGTTCTAGCTTCACACCCGACACTTTGAATTCCAATTTGAATTTTTGACAGAATTTTTGCAATTCGGTGCTTCTCTGTTAAACTCGACGTGGCTTAGTTGAAAATTGTAGCGGTTCCAAATACGGCCTTACAACAAGGCTATCTGTTTAACACGAATAGTAAAATACAGGTATGTTTTGTTAATTTCAATGCATTCAGAGAATAACACCGCCTCCGGTTTTTCGCATATGCAACACTGCAAACCGCCAATACTTGCACCAATACTATACGTTGAGTGAATTGAGTGCAGAGAGAGGAGCCCTCTAGCGCCTTCAATTTTCTATATACAACATGGCTATCCATCGAGCACGAATAGTTGAATCATGCAAGGCGATTTATCGGCACAGTGCGCAGTGTTGTGTCCGTCAGCGATGTCCAAGAAACTGACTGTATTGCTACCGTACTAAGGGGAAACGGCGTATGAAAATTTGAGCGTTGCCAAATTCCCCCCAGTTAAATGTTTATTTTTAAGAATAGTTATGGATAATTTCTCTTGAAATTTTCAGATAATTTAGATCTGGTTGCGAATGGAATTCGGAGAAAAACTGGTGGAAAGTTTTCACAGATATCCCTGAAAATTCGTATTTTGCCAATGGGAATTTGGCAATGTCTGAAGGATCGTACTGCGCTCTTCCTTAGCACGGCAGAATACAACTTACGCAGTGGCGTGGCGTGCTTTGCGATATATCGATTCATTGGCCATTTAAACCCATGGAAAAGGATCGATAAACAGGGTGTTCGCAGCGAACACCTTAATAATCGATTCTTTACCATAGGTTTAAATGGCATAACAATCGATGTATCGCAATTCACGCCACGCCACTGAACTTACGACTCAGAAGCAAGGCGGAAATCGGTTAAAAAAACAAAGCCGCCCCTCAACCATTATGTACATTGATGGGTTTTGTAAATAGTTTTATTGGTAAAATATTTTTTTATAAATGTAGTTTACTATGAAACCACTTGTTTTCCGTTCCAGCACTACGTTTCGGGGCTTTACGATTCACCTGGTTGTACCAACGAAGTGAGCAAGATCAATCACGCTGGGGTCATTGTTGGCCAATATACGGGTATTTTTTTGGATTTTCTTTCAACCTATAATTTATTTATAATTTTCATATTTATCCTTCTAAAGTATTTTTCCTTCTCTCCGTTAAATTTTTCACAGGATCATAGTGAGTTCTGACCTTTCGTGATCATCGGAATTTGTTAAACATTGTGTTTCCTCTATTTAAATTCATTATGAATAATCGGCGTTATGAAAGACAGTGCCTTAATAAATATCGATCGTTTTAAAGTAATTCAAATGAACAAAATCAAATGCTGGCAAGTTGCGAGAATCACCACATATCAGAGACAAATTAAACCCCCTCAACAGACTTTTTACTATAAGTGAAGATTTTCTCCTTTCATCCCTTGAGATTCCGTTGCAAAAAGGTGAGAATTTTGTTCAAGAATCAAGCCAACGTTTGTTTAAATCGTAAAAATGCACAATTTCAATATATATTCGTGGTAAATCAATTTTAAAATGCATTGTTGCCAATATTTCGATTTTTAAATCCGTCAATTTTTACAGAACCGCAATTATCTCAAAGCATCACACTTTTGTTCGAATAAAAAGTCGTCTAGTCAATAGTTTGGTTGATTTCACATCCATCGATATACAGGGTTATTCAAAAATCACTGGCCATGAAGGTAGTGGTCATTTGAAATTTTTGAGTTGCCCCCCACCCTCCTCCCCCGAGAGGATCAAAACTGGAAAGTACCTAAAAAATGTTCCTCCTCGATATGAGGAAAAACTTCTTAAACAGCAAATCGATATCATAATTACAACTAAAATTACGGCCAGTGGTGCGCGACTTTTGAATAACCTTGTATTATACCTTGCATGGAATTTATTTGCTCACGAGATATGACCATTATTGTAAACGGCTTTTTGGAGCGACGACGCTTGATGAAATTTTTGAGCGATGCCCGTTTTATGGTGACGCCTCCAAATCACTCCACCGAACAAAACAATTTGATACAAAAATGAGAGCAAGAGACAGTCATGATAGCTCACTTTTACCGAAGTACTTTTACATGTAGCTTTTTCTCGAAACTATGTTTTTTGAATTACTAGTATCAAACCGCCGCCATACCTACGGTTTGATTTGACACTTTTGGATGGTTTTTTTTCCCGAAAAGTTCCCAGACGCAGACTAAAATCAACAATCTTCAAGAACTCAACTTTGAATCTTTGTCTGATAGTTCCCTTGCCTATGAATGCATGATAATATGATGGACACAAATTGTAACCTCTAAATCACCTCTCTGTTTCAGACGCCTGGATTGTCCGGTTTAGTGTGGAAAGTGACTGGGGTTTACAGGTAAACATTCTTACAATTAAAATCACATACTGCGCTGCTAAGAAAAAAAACCAATATGCGAGGGGGGGGGGCAATAGGCTTTTACCCCTGTAAAGTTGTATTTTTACGTGGACTGCGTTATGCAGAAAGGAACCAAGCCACGTCAGCTATTGCCAAATGTTCAAGTACTTTAGTGAATCTTAATTCACCATTTACTTTACGGATTTCATTTTCTACACTAAAATTGCAAGTTTGCATTTTGCTTTGTGTCACATGCACCTCCATCAGTTTGCGTTTCAGATGAATGGACTAAGAATGTTTACAGTCAGCATTTCGATCAAATCTGAGCCTGTTTTTAAACATCCTAGATAACGGAACGCTATTTGAACTCAAAACAATGGAAGAATGTACTTACGAAGTTGGGTTCGGATCCTACATAAAACTATTAACTGCGCGGTGGGGCGGAAGATAACCTCGGCATTTGAATAACACGTCTAGCGTAAAACAATAGAAGAATGGAAGTTGGGTTCGGACCCAACATGCAACTATTTCAACTCCACGGTGGGCTGGGTTGCATATGCTAGATTTTGCAGGCAAAATTTGAGATTTGGCCACGACGCACGGCTCTCGCGATAGGGTCGTTACGAGTGCGATCTGTGTTTTCTTCAGCGTATGCAACCCGACATACCCCCCAGCCCACTCGGCCAGATTTAATGAAGCTGCTTAATGTCTCCAAATCCAATGTGGCGTATTCCTCCATTGGTTTACGCTCAGCACATCAAATGCAGAGTTCGTTTTTAGGAATGCATCTCATGTTTGTTACTACCACGTTCCAAACCTGTGCAACAGGAGAGTCCAAATAGTTGACGGAAATAGACGTCACAATCGAGGAAAACACTAATTGCACCCGCACGCCCCTACTTTATCGCGAGAGCCTTGGATAGAGCTCAGATTTCGCCTGCAAAATTGAGCGTATGCAACCCAGCTCACCGCGGAGTTGAAATAGTTGCGTATTGGGTCCGAACCCAACCTCCATCCTACCATTGTTTTGCGGTAGACGCATTATTCAAATACCAAATTTATCTTCCGGATAAGAATAGCAGTTGGTTTATAAAGCGTTATTTTGTTGGTAATGTGTTTCCTCTGTTTACTGAATGAGGAAGGTAAAGGAAGTTTTGGCTAAAAATCAATTTTCTGATCGAATCAATTAAAAAACTGAATCTTTCGACCCCTAGTTCTTGCGACTACTCGTAAGGCGTTTTCTTCTCTCATTCAATTTTTATTTTGTTCCTCGTTGCTCCTCTGAGGTAGGTAAAGGCTAATCTTTATCTCAACGTGAGCCCCAAAATGTAAAGAATTATTTGGACAAAAAAGCTCACATGAGAACTGAGATACGCCCTTACGTCTAACGAGCCAATGGACCACTAGACAAGGTACGAATTTAGGCAATCTTTTACATCTTTTTTAGCCAAAAGTTTACGTAAAACACGATTCTTACAACGAAAATTAATGAAACCAACTTTTAACAAAGATATTAACGCTTTTATTACACATTAGTCACAAAGGAATTTGAACTGCCCGCTCACAAGAAATTCAAAGCTCCACGTGAGTCAAATCGCGCACTGCAACAGTTTCAGCAAGCTTCTGAATCGCGCAATGTTCGTTTAACTGCAAACTATAAGCAATTTGCTATAACTGAGCCAAAGCGTCAAGATCGAGGTTCCCAGATTTTTATATCGCAGATACTGTCATGATAACGTTTAGCGCTCGATGTGAATCACGTAGAGCATTGAGTTTTTATGAGCGGATGGTTTGAATTCACGCATCAAGAATCAACGAATATTTTCGTGAGGAGTTTATTTCAGCAATTTTCTTTGAGCGCATCGTGTTTGACGTAAAATTTTGGTTAAGAAACATGCATCAAAATGCTGAAATTCGTACCTTGTCTAGTGGTCCATTCCTGGGTGAATTCAAATAAGGGTCAAATTCCAGGTTCTATTTCCTCCCAAAATTTTTTTCTGAATTTTTGGGCAAACCAAACTTTATTTTGACTATCATTAGGTGTTGACTTAGGAAATATAGCTCGTCGAGCTTAATAGTTGGGCTTAAACCCGAATTTCCACCGTCAACTGTATCACCTTCCAAAATTTGCCGTAATTTTGCCTGATGTCCTAAATTTTCATCTCAGAGGTGACATATAATACTTTTAATTAAAAATTGAACACAATTGTCATAAAAGCATCGTCAATCACTAAATTAAAGCATAATTGAAAACATGTAACCCTTTCATATCTTGCAGAACCAAAAAAATTAAGAAAAAATTCATCCGTCATGAAAGATATCTGGAGCTTATTCTGCTTGTCTTTTAGACAGTTCCGTCTGTTTATCAAAATGCGCACTGATTTCGTTTCACACGAGAAGAAGCTTTTATTTTTTGGAATATTGCAATACAAAATGGATCAAAAACACCGAATTTTAAAACTTCGAGTGGGCGTGTACCCGCTGAAGTGGTGATAAAGCCAGGAAATTTTGAGGACTTACATTAACATAACAATCACACCGGTCAACTTTTTTTTTTTTTTTTTTTTTTTTTTGATTTTCCGAAGATTTGCCAATGGTTTCGGAGTAGATTTTTGGCGCTGATTCTGAAGAACACCTCCATTTATCTGTATCAATGCGATTTATCCTGGGAAAGTTCGGAATTTTTCCGGAGAAATCGGAATTTTCCTTAAAAGTCTAGCTTTTCCAGAAGAGTCAATTTTCCGGGAGAATCTATGCACGATGGAAAAAACACAGGAATTTTTCGATTTCGTAGCCTAAGATACATAAGAAACCCTAGTGCACCCCTATTAAAATTTCCTTTCTTTTCCTTATACCAAGGTTTTCCGGTCCAGTTTCATAAAAATCAATTAATTAGTCACCGAGATAGTGTTTTAAGCCACGGCCACCATCTTAGATTTTCGAATCTCGGAAATTTGACTAAAATTCGAGTTCCTCATTCAAAAATACCCGCGGGTACCAAGTTTCGCGTAAATGGTTCTAAATTTATTGATTAGGCTCTGAGACAGCATTTTAGACCATGTCCGCCATCTTGGATTTTCGAATTTTAAAAATTTGACTAAACATTCAAGTTCCCCATTGAAAAGTACCCCCGGGTACCAAGTTTCACTTTAATCGATTGATTAGGTGCTGAGATAGCATTTTAGGCCACGTCCGCCATCTTGGATTTTCGAATTTTGAAAATTCGACTAAAAATTCGAGTTTCCCATTCAAAAATACCCCCGGGTACCAAGTTTTGCGTAAATCGATTGATTAGGCGCTGAGATAGCATTTTAGGTCATGTCCGTCATCTTGGATTTTCGAATTTTGAAAATTCGACTAAAAATTCGAGTTCCCCATTGAAAAATACCCCCGGGTACCAAGTTCCACTTAAATCGGTCGAAAAGAGCGCCTACAGGGCTTAAACAAACAAGTCCCAGTTGATTAGGCGCTGCGATAGTATTTTAGGTCATGTCCGCCATCTTGGATTTTCGAATTTTCAAAATTCGACTAAAAATTCGAGTTTCCCATTGAAAAATACCCCCGGGTACACAGTTTCACTTAAATCGGTAGAAAAGAGCGCCTACAGGGCTTAAACAAGCAAGTCTCAGTTGTAACAGTTTTCCACTCTGTCCCACTACATAGTCCAGTCAATTTAGCTCTAAATAAGGGTCATCTGGGAAAATCTATATATAGAAGGTTTTTTTGCGGAAACATGTTGCATTAGGCTACCAGAACAACATATCAAAAGTTTACCAAAATCGGCCGTCCGCTAAGGCCGCCATCTTGAAAAAAGGGGGGGCGGGGGGCCAAAATACGCCGCCGGCGACCGGTTTTTAGCTTATATCTTGAAAAATATCGATCCTACGGAAAAATGTCACTGCAC